GGCAGCTTCCGCAGTACGTGGATGAAGCTGTCTATCTAGATCCGCTCCAGTCTGGCTTCAGGCCTGGGCACAGCATGGAAACGGCATTGGTCACGTTGGTGGATGATCTCTGGAGGCTCGGGGTAGGGGTTGCTCTTCTATCCTGGTCCTGTTAGATCTCTCAGCGGCTTTTGATACCATCGATCATGGTATCATGTTGCGCCAGTTGGAGGGGTTGGGGGTGGGGGGCACCGTTTTGCGGTGGTTCTCCTCCTATCTCTCTGCCTGGTCACAATCTGTGTTGGCAGGGGGGCAGCAGTCAACCCCAAGGTGCCTTGTTTGTGAGGTGCCGCAGGGGTCGGTCTTCTCGCCCCTCCTGTTCAACATTTATGTGAAGCCGCTGGGTGAGATCATCCGTGGCTTTGGGGTGGAGTTCCATCAGTACGCTGATGACACTTAGCTGTACATCTCCACCCCAGGCCACCCCAATGATGCCCTTGAAGTGATGTCCCGGTGCCTGGAGGCCGTGCGGATCTGGATGGGGAGAAACAGGCTCCAATTCAACCTTTCCAAGACCGAGTGGCTGGGGCTTCCGGCGTCCCAATATAGCCAGCTGGTGCCATCCCTGGTTATTGGGGGCGAGCCATTGGCCCCACAGAGAGGGCTCGCAACTTGGGCGTCCTCCTGGATGCACGGCTGTCTTTAGAAGAGCATATGATGGCTGTGGCCAGGGGGGCTTTTTATCAGGTTCACCTGATACACCAGTTGCGTCCCTTTCTGGATCGGGACTCCTTACGCATAGTCACTTAACCACTCGTCACTTCCCGCCTGGACTACTGGAATGCTATCTACATGGGGCTCCCCATGAGGTGCACCTGGAGGCTCCAACTGGTCCAGAATGCGGCTGCGCAGGGGATTATGGGAGCGACGGGGCGCTCCCATGTGACACCCCTCCTGCACGAGCTGCACTGGCTTCCAGTGGTCTTCCGGGTGCGCTTCAAGGTGTTGGTGACTACCTTTAAAGTGCTCCATGGCTTAGGGCCTGGGTATCTACGAGACCACCTTCTGCCGCCAATAGCCTCCCACCGGCCAGTACGCTCGCACAGAGAGGGGCTCCTCAGGGTGCCGTCGGCCAGACAATGTTGGCTGGCCACCCCCAGGGGGAGAGCCTTCTCTGTGGCAGCATCCGCCCTCTGGAACGACCTACCCCCAGAGATAGGTATGATCCCGGACCTCCGGACTTTTCGTTGGGCCCTTAAAACTCACTTATTTCATCTAGCCGGGTTGGCTAGATCCCATCTTTCGGTTTTAATTTGTAATTGATTTTATTGGGGTGTTTTAAATTGTGGGCTGAAATTATTTAATATCTTTTAAATTGTTTTAAATTTTGTATGCTATGTTTTACCTTGGCTGTTCACCGCCCTGAGTCCTGCTGGAGAAGGGCGGTATAAAAATCAATCAATCAAACAAACAAATAAATAAATAAATAAATAAATCTTAAAAACTCAAAACTTGAAACAAGAAGAGAAGCAACCTAGAACTAAGGAGAAATTTCCTAATAGTGAGAACAATAAGCCAGTGGAACGGCTTGCCTCCAGAAGTTGTGGGTGCTCCACCATTGGAGGCTTTTAAGAAGAGCCTGGACAGTCACTTGTCTGAAATGGGTATAGGGGCTCCTGCTTGAGCAGGGGGTTGGACTAGAGGACCTCCAAGGTCCCTTCCAACTCTGTTATTCTGTTGATCTTTCTGTTAAGAGTACCACTTCAGGAATTTTAGGAGCATTGTATGGGCATTCTCAAAAAAAGTGAGTTGCTCCTTGCCATCTCCTTTAGCACCACTCCCTGGAGGCTTCCATCCATCTCCATCTTACCTTCGTCTTTTTTTCTGCGCAGATGAGCACAGAAAATGAAAGAATCCAAATAATTTAATCAGACGAGGTAGGGAATCTGACAGGCACCAAGGGAGATATCTATAGACATATTGGTGCCCAGAGGTAGAACTTTGCCTATTCTGAAATGAATGAAATTGTATATGGATCAGATAAATGATTGCAACGTCTAGAAAGCAGGCATTTTGTAGAATTTCAGCTGCCCTTTTATAGAGCAAATGTATATAAAAAAAATCTCTTAGATTTTTTTTCTTTAATAGGAGACACTGTTATGTTTCTAATGATGATAAAAAAAATGCTCAGTGAATATGGTTAGCAGAGACAGTGCAGTGGCCATTTGAAACATAAACAGACTAACAGACAATATGGAGACACTAGTCTTGAGAAGAAGAAGAGGACCCTCACCCCCCAGAACTAAGAATAGCAAAAATTGAAGTGATGTTTAAGACATGACAGAGACTAGGTAACAAAACAAGCTTTGCTGTGTCAGAGGGAAGAAAATCTACAGACATTCAGTTTAGCTTAGCTTTGCGATTAAACTGGACAAGTATGGGCACCCCTAATGTATTACCCACCCGTCATTTTTATTTCCCGTAAGATGAAAGTTTATAAGAAAAGATTATTTTCTTATATTTACTTTGTAGCTTATCTTTTTCAAGTTGTTGAATATTTTTAAAAACATTACACTCTAGAGCAGTGTTTCTCAACCTTGGCCTTGGCAGAGCTGGCTGGGGAATTCTGAGAGTTGAAGTCCACACATCGTCCAGCGGCCAAGGTTGAGAAACACTGCTCTAGAGGCTCAGAGGGCCTGTGAGGAACTGAAGGAGGGGTTTATAAGCATAGTGACTGGTGAAAGGGCTGTGTTGTAGTTTGGAGATAGATGTTGTTGTATCCCTCCCCCTCTGTTGAAAGAGGGCTCTTCAGTTTTGACATAGATGACCTCTTTGACCCCTCTTTCAAACCAGCAATCCTCTCTGCCCAAAATGTGGACTTTTGAAAAAGCACCTTTGGGACAACCATGACTTGGATGGCTGAGAATCTCCATAGACATTGTTCGTTGAGAAATATATGTGTATGGTTAGGAAACTGCATTGTACATAAGCAGCAGTGAGTTCTACTTACCTTTACTACCGGTTCGTAATGGGATCACATGCATGTGCCTTGCTCCTGCCCATGCGCCTTGCTTCTGCCCATGCACCAAAGCTTCTGTGCATGTGCAGATTGCCAATGACGATATCCGGGGTGGTGGGCAGGGCTTCCCGCCAGTTTTACTACCGGTTCTTGTGAACCGGTCCGAACCAGGGGCAACCCACCACTGGTACATAAGTTGGTTTAAAGCAGCGGTGAAATCCGGCCGGATATATCCGGCTCGCGCGAACTGGTAGCGCCGGCGGTGGGAGGCTTCGCCTACCCACCGGGATGTCATTACACCCCATTTATGACACTCTGTGCATGCGCGCTCCCGTTCCTGAACCGATAGCAAAGGTAAGTGGATTTCACTGCTGGTTTAAAAGAAGTATGGATACATCTAATAGCCTTGAATTACAAAACAACATATAAAAATATGGAGTTCAGAGTTGGTTGCTGAATATGAAAAGAGCATTAGATATGCACAAAATCAAAGGAATAGATTAGAAATTCTTATGGGGATAATTGAAAAATGTTGGCTGCAGTTGTCTACATTGGTGTGCATTTTTGTGTGCTAATGATTTTCTCTACCGGTTCTCCAGAACTGGTCAGAACCTGCTGAAACTCACCTCTGAATAGTATGAAGATTATGCATGATATATAAGTCAGTGCCTGTACTCTCATGTCATGCTAAACTGTTCAAGAGAACCTCTGTGTGTATATGTGCTCATATGTGAACATGTATGTCAAAATTGTCAAGATGGTGACTGCAATATTGAATCCCACCCTATTTTATATCTGTTACATGAACAATATATATTTTACAAAGGCAGAGCTTTGATTGTGTGGTCATCTTTGCCATTCTTTTACCACTGCCACCCCAGATACCGCTGAAACTATTACATATTATTAATGGCCATGCATGTGTTACCATGTTGCCATCATTTAATACAGTTCCTTAAAGAGATGGCAGTTTACTATTCTATTTGGATTCAAAGCAATGGCATTGTGGATGTCCAAATAAGGAGACATGGCAAACAGCAAATCTCAGTTAAAGAACTAAAGGTAGTCCTTGACTTACAACAATTCGTTTAGTGACTGTTCAAAGTTACAACAGCACTAAAAAAAAAGTGACTTATGATTGTTTTTCACAGTTACGACCTTTGCAGCATTCCTGTGATCATGTGATCAAAATTCAGATGCTTGGCGACTGGTTCATACTTATGACCGTTGCAGTGTCCCAGGGTCATGTGATCACATTTTATAACCTTCTGACAAGCAAAGTAAATGGGGATGTCAGATTCACTTAGCAACCAAGTTACTGGGGGTGAAGCAGAGGTGGGTTTCAGCAGGTTCTGACCAGTTCTGGAGAACCGGTAGTGGAAATTTTGAGTAGTTCGGAGAACCGGTAGTAAAAACTCTGACTGGCCCTGCCCCCATCTATTCTCTGCCTCCCAAGTCCCAGCTGATCAAGAGGAAATGGGGATTTTGCAGTAACCTTCCCCTGGATTGGGGTGGGAATGGAGATTTTACAATATCTTTCCCCTGCCACGCCCACCATGCCACGCCCACCAAGCCATGCCCACAGAACCAGCAGTAAAAAATTTTGAAACCCACCACTGGGGTGAAGGTTCGTTCTTTGAGCTTGGAGAACAAATCTTCACCCTCATCCTACACTCGAGCTACAGATATTCGCCACTATTGCAAAACCAGGTTAATAATGTATCAGTTGCAGTGATTCACTTAACAACTGTGGCAAGAAATGTCATAAAAAAGGGAAAACCTCACTTAACAAATTCTCACTTAACAACATAAATGTTGGGTTCAATTGTGGTCATAAGTCAAGGACTATCTGTGCTTCCAAGGTGGGGTACTTGGAGCACTTCCAAAATACTTCTGACATGGTGGTGCATTCATGTTCATTAATTGAATTTCACAATTTAGGATGTTGTATAATCACAAAGTTTCTCTTTCTTGGTTTTAAAAAAAAACAGACTCAGACACATATTTCTAGATAATTTTTGCTACTGTAGTTGGAGAGTAAAGTGTCATTTAGTCTATTATACAGTATTTGAATTCACACACACACACAAAATCTGCAGTGGTTGAATAGGAGCACCTTTCATTGACCCTTCCAGTAGCTTAAGAAACTAGTGATTTAAAAAGAATGAAGGGACAGTTAAGTGGAGCTTGCTGCTGGTCTGAGGGAGGAGAAAGTGAAGCTCTAGTTTCAGTTCCTCTTTTTCAATATTTAAAGGAGATACAGCTTTGGAGGAATGGGGGAGAAGGCCTTGTGCATGTATGACTGGAGATAGAGAATTAAAAGAGTTCCAGATGAAGCATCTGTCCCTCAATATGGCTTCCTTTCAGGGCTGCTGTGTCATATTCCAGAGATCATAGTTTTCCCAATACGGAGAATGTCAGCTCCAGAAGTTTAATCTCAAGACATGTATTGAGACAATTCTAAATGTTGCTTTAAGTAACAGCAGCCCTTTGAAAAAGAGGCAAAGGTGTCATCTTGTCCTGGCAAGGATGCTCTTGGGATGCTCTCATCCTGGCAAGGAGGTTCTTGGGAAAAAAGATCGAGCAGCCGCAGGAAAAGATGGAGGAGCAACCAGTGGCGTAGGGGGCAAGATTTGAGGGCCGCTTCCACGGGCAGAGTTCAGACCCTTGTGTGCCGGCAGGTTCGCGAAGGGCCTGGGGCTGAAGCAGCTGCCGAAGTCGATGGCGATTCCTCATCCGTCGTGTCCCCCTGCTCCTCCTTATGAAGGCCAAGGTTGATATGAGTCTGCAGAGCGGCAGGGGTCAGCCATTCCTTGGGGAGGCAGCTTTGCAGGAAAGGAATGCAGGAGCTAAAGTAGGCCAGGCGGTTCACCCAGCGTGGGATTTCCTTCCCACACAGGATCTGAGAAACGATAGGGAAACAACACACACACACAAAACAATTTGTCAGTCTCTGCTTTTATATTGCTTGCTTGCTATGGCTGCCATTGTGACGGGGGGGGGGGGGGGGGGTTGGCTGGGTAGTTGGGGGGGGGGAAATGAGCTGGTGGAGATGTCTTGTCCCAGGGAGTGAATTGGAGAAAGTTTTCCTCAGCGCTTTCTCTGCAGCTGGGAGGCGCACTGATAACCAGTCAAGGTCAACCGTCCTGGCATACCAGAAGGATAGAGCCATCGGAAGCTGCACCCCACATGACCCCTTGGGGGGATGTGGATTGGATAATCCTGACTGGACCCTTGGGGGGAGGGTTTTAGGGATGCTTTCTATATGTGATTTTTGCACCTATTGCCTCAGACCTTGCTTTTCTTTGGTTGCATTCAGTTCATACTCAATTAAAGTATCTTTCTCTACAAAAATGGAGTCCGGGTTTTTCTTTCTTGAGTACTGAAAGGAGGCATACCTGACACAATTATTGTTTGATTTGCAGATAATTTGCCACTGCCTCCTTTTCCCACCGGCAAGAGAAAAGAAAACCCATGGCCTTGACCATGAGGCATAGAAGCAAGAAAAAAGTATCCAATACAATTTACTAACCAAATTTACTATTTACTAACTAAATGGATGGGGGAGAGGGGGAGCAAGATGATCTTTCAATAAGTTAGCCAGCATAGCTTAATCTATGTTCAATCCTTCTACCGAAGAATCTTGAGAGTTAAAAATTACTCATACCATTGATATGTGAATGTTACTATTTTTCAGACCTCTCAATTACCCTGAAAATGGGGTTGCCTGTGGGAAGGGGGTACTCTGCTGTGAACTTCCCTGCAGAGAAAAACAGAAGCTTACAGGAATCAATAACATCTGGAGAAAATGGCAGGGTGCCATGTAGTTTATTCTACAGGCACATTCCAGAAATAGAGCAATTTTCTTCCTGCGGTGCTAAGAGTGTATAGTTCAAAATGTGATGAATGTGATGAACACAAGTCCTGCATTGCATACCAGGAAATCTTATTCTACAGTGTGCAGGGAAAGATTTAATGAGTACTTGATTTCCTTCCAAAAGCATTTGGCCAGAGCTTTCTGTGGTCACATGGTTTCCGGTTCTAGGATTGTCAAAAAACAACAACAACAACAATAACCTCATCTAAACTCTACTGTCCTTTGTGTCTTCCCTCCTCTTACACTGAAGCACAGCACAAACATGCTTTTTGCTTTGCTTTCTGCCAGGTCATCACTCAAGTTGTCTCCATTTCATCCCCAAGCTCAAGCTTGAAGCTGCTTAACGTTGTTGCTGACTGATCTGGTGTCACAGTGATGGTTTCTCCTTTAAGCAAGCAACAGGCTCCACCAGGGTTTTTTGTTGTGGTGGATGAAATCTGCATCACATTATGGTGCACTCTGATGACCCTGAAGAGATGAGATGAACCCAGCATCTTTTGGGCACTTTAGTCAGTACAAGCATGCCCCTACTCCTCTGCCCCCTACATAGTACCTTACAGGACATTGAAACAGGTTAGTTCTTTTAAAGTGGCCTCTCCCTTGCACCAACTAGAACAATAGCTGATCAGCAGTGAAAGAGAGGGGAGCAGGATGGTACTCTCTGCTGCTTCTTAGCAGAACCTTCTCTGCACCTATGGATTGTTGTTCAGGATGCATGAGTTTAGAATCTCCTTACTAGTAGAGTTCAGAGGCTCCCTCAATTTTCTTTGCCCTCCCTCGTCCCGCAAAAAAGGTGAAAGAGCATAGTTACAAAAGCAAAGACGTGTCATGGGGCCGACTTTGGAACAGATCACAAACTGTTTGTTTGCAAATTCCATGTTAAACTGGAAGGGGGGAAGCCAACTAGTATTCACAGTATGATCTGAAGCAAGAGAACACCAGAAAAGCCTGAACCTCATTGATGCAAAACCAGAGAAACCATGGAATGAATTAAAAGAGGTTGTTAAAAATGAAGGTGACAGAGAGAGATTGCCAAAAGACCAAGGAAGAGAAGAAGGCAAGCTGGAAATGTATGCTTCATTGGCGATAGAAAGACTTTCAGTTATATCAATCCTTTTAAGCTGTGGAATGTGCTTAAAAATATGACAATCCCAGAACATTTCATTCTCCTCACCTGTACAAAAGTCAGAAAGCCACTACATATACAAAACATGGTGAAACAGATGAGCTCCAATTGGCCAAAGTTATATACTCTCCATTTATGTATTCCCTCTACGTGCAAAACATATATTGAAGAAACTTGGATTGAAAGAAGATGAACATGATTTTAAATTGCAATAGCTATAGACTTATATACTGCTCCATACAGCACTGCCTGAGCAGTTTACAATGTCAGCATATGCCCCCTAACCATCTTAGACCTCATTTTACTGATCTCGGAAGGATGGAAGGCTTAGTCAACCTTGAGCCCATCAGGATTGAACTCCTGTAAGTGGGCAGAGTTAGCCTGCAATACAGCATTCTAACCACTGAGACACCACGGGTTTTAAAACTGGAGGAAATAACATCAATAACCTATGCAATGCGGATGGCACTACTCTGACAGCTGAAATTGCAAATCTGCACATTGGACTAATGAAAATCAAGGAGCACAGGAAAAATTAGGATTAAAATTAAATATAAAAGGACCAAATTAATGATAAAGGCATAGCAACCAGCCTTAGAATTGGCAGTGAAGATATTAAAATTGTGGACAGCTTTTCCTTTTTAGGATGAACTATTGTAAAGGAAGGAAGAAGAAGCCAAGACATTCTCTGCAGAATAGCACTTGGTAAAGCAGCTATGAAAGCCTTGGAACAGATATTCAGATGCTGAGATGTATCTATGCCTACCAAAATCAGAATGACACAGGCAATCATAACTACATGACACTCTATGGAAGCAAAAACTGGCTTTGAAGAATTAGGATATTGGAAGAGTTTTGAAAGTTTTGAACTTTAGCATTGGAGAAGATTCTTGAGAACATCAGGTATAACTAAAGCAAACAAATAGATCATTGAAGCAATCAGCCTAGACTTCTCCTTCCAGACACATGAGACCAGCCTCAAATTGTCATATTTTGAACGTAAATGCTGGACACATTTTCTCTGGATAAGTCTATCATGCTAGGAACAATGGAAAGAAAGAGAACAAGGTGATGACTAACAGCAAAGTGGTTGTACAGAATTACAACAGAACTGAATGCAGTATTGGAGGTCCTGAAACATCAATTAGGACAGATCTTCCTGAAGACAATATTTCTAATTGGTCACTAAGAGTCAATACCAACTTGTTGACATATAATCATCAATCATCATTGCATCTAGAGTAATTTGTCTTGTTACGTCAATACTTCTATAAATCTTCTGATACAGTAAAGGTAAAGGTTCCCCTCGCACATATATGCTAGTCGTTCCCGACTCTAGGGGGCGGTGCTCATCTCTGTTTCAAAGCCGAAGAGCCAGCACTGTCTGAAGACGTCTCCGTGGTCATGTGGCCGGCATGACTAAATGCCAAAGGTGCACGGAACACTGTTACCTTCCCACCAAAGGTGGTCCCTATTTTTCTACTTGCATTTTTTACGTGCTTTCGAACTGCTAGGTTGGCAGAAGCTGGGACAAGTAACGGGAGGTCACCCCATTACGCGGCACTAGGGATTTGAACTGCTGAACTGCCGACCTTTCGATCGACAACCTCAGCCTCTTAGCCACTGAGCCACTGCGTCCCTTAGTTCTGATACAGTAAGTAGCTTAAAATACATTCCTACTGTGCCTTTTTTCATTCTAGTTTAAGTGTTAACTTGTGTAACAGAATACTACTTCTCTTCTTTTTCTGTACTATTGCTCCTCAGTAGTAAGAATATTTCCTACTGGGGAATCATGATTTCCTCCCTTTAAGGGGCCCTCACCTCCATTTTTTTTCTTACAGAATAGATGTCCAATAAAAATATTCTCTCCAATCCCCTGCAGGGATTCATGACTGGTCTCCAAAAAGCTAAATACATTGATCCTGGTTAATGCTTGGATTGGAGACCACTAGGAAATTCCAGAACTGGAGAGCAGATAGAAGTTGACAAAGAACTCTGAAAGAAGGTCCTGGCAATTCTCATACTGTTGCCAAGAAAACTATATGTAGTCACCAGTAATCAAGCTCAGCTAAACCTTAACGTTTTGCTAAGCAAAAGGATATGATTTAAATTAAAAATACTGTAATGCTACAAGCATACCAAATGGGTTTGCACATAACATTGTGTCAAAACAAGTAAATGCTCAAAATAATAGCTTAGTCCAATTTGTGAGCCCAGCCAATTCTTTCCCAAACTCTGCTCACGATGGGCATTTTGGCAAAGGGTCAGGAAACAATATGATCCCTTTGGGTGATTTTTTTTTCTGACCCTGTTTTCATGATTTTTGTTTTATATTATTTGCTTAGTGTACTGCATTTCTAAAAATTTAATGACTGTTTATTAATGATATGCACCATCCTCAGATGATTGCCAAGCAGGCAGCTATGTAAATCAATCACTTAATTTACTTTACAATCCCCAGAATGGGAACCATGTTGCCATTACAAGAAACTTAAAGAAAGTTTTGTCACTAAGAGAACACTGCTTTCCATAAGTCAATCAAATCAAATAGAGCAAGCAAAAAACAAAAACGAAAAACCCAGGTGCCTTCCAGTAATAGCACTTGATTCTTCCACTGATGTGTAATAATTTCCAGCTTAAGGTACATTTATTTAGCTCCTTTCGGATGCTAGGGAAAGAGAGAGAGAGAGAGAGAGAAGGTGCAGCAAATGAGAAAATGCCTTGAGATGCTTAATTCTGCCTCAATATCCCACTGAGTCTTTTAGGGGGGGGGAAACCCACATCACACGCCTACACAGCCCAATTCTCCACTGCAAAGGAAGTTTGAATACATCTCAGTAATCTGACCTCTGAAACTGCAGTTTCCTTGCAGTCATCTGCATGAAGCAATCAACCCCCTTTTCCATTGCAAAATGCTGCTGTGGAATAGGCATTGTGCACCTTCTAGGGAAAGGAAAATTAACTCTTTCCTCCTTGCCACTTGATTTCCTCTAAGTTCCCCTTGATTCCTTTGATGTCTGCTAGTCTTATAAACCCAGGTCTTGTCTTGCAATGTATGTCTGTATCCCCAGTGGACTGGATACCTGCAGAAAACCAAGCGAAGGATTATTTGGTGTGGGGGGAATGGGGGAATCTGCTCCTCTGCCAGAGAAAACAAGTTTTTCGACTGTGGTCCTAGAGACCATCAAGCAGGTCAAAATGACTGATCTGGCCTTTTCTTCTTTTCCATTCTCATTATGTTAAAAAAAATTGCACAGCTATTTCATGACGGCCCAGAGACACATAAATAACTCAGAAAATGAGAAACTGCTACAAAAGAAATTACAGTTGGTGACCTTTTCTGTGACACCTCATTTGGCTTGTACCTACAGATATCAAAGTGATCAGTGTCAAGAGAAATGAGATGTGGGGTTTTCTCCTTTTCTTCTTTCTTTTTTTAAAGAGGAAAATATCTGATCCTTAACTGGTACATAGTAATTTCAGCGCTCAAGAAAATCAAATGAATGCCACCCAATCATTTTGTTCCTAATCATGGGACCTTCGTCTTAAGAACACACCAACCAAGACAATAATTGACGGTAGCAAGAATGGATTGATGTGTCAATTGTGTTTGCCTATGGCTTCCAAAGGGCGCAGGCAAATCACTCAGTGATCCTCCTGTCCCTCTCCAGCTGGACAGCTGCCAGCACTAACCACTAAAAGATATGCTTTCATTTCATTCCATTTTAAGGGATGTTCGGTGATAAGAAAAAGAGGAAGGCAGACAAAATATTAGGAAACATGAGAAGACTCGAAAGAATAGAAGACAACATATGGAATCACCGTTGTTTCCATACATGAATAAATAAAGCAGGATAATTGCCCAGAAGAACTTTGGGATCTGAATTACACATCCTCTTTTGGATGTAAAAAGGCTGTAAGAAAATATCAGGGTAAGAAACTGTTTCAGATTGCTTGGATCTTGCCCTGAGTGTTAAAAATTCATCTTGGATTCTTAACAAATAGAGACCATAGATACTAAGCAGGACAGATGCGATGGTATCAGTTAGAGTACTCTGTTGTGTTATGATAAATGATTCAGCCATAGTGATCTAATCATAGTGGGGATTGTTTTGGCCCACAAACTGCCTCACCAACATTGCCGGAGGATTATAAAGTAATACCCAGAGAAAGAATAGAAGGTGAGTCCACCTCTGCCAGAGCAGCTGAGAAGTGATTGCAATTCTTGTGCATGAGATGATAAGCATTGCCCTTGTACTCTTTGCCCAGTTCCTCCATGATTTTATCCACATCTTCTTCAGTGAAGTCTGTGGTGCCCAAGGCAATGGATTCTCTAGTTGAAAAAAAAAAGAAGATAAGAAAAGTCAAACAACAGGAAATGGGCAGTCAGAAAGACAAGACACCAGGCGTGCTTTGAAAGTGAATCCTTGCAATGAATTAAAATAGCCTAGCTTCTTTTTCAGGCTTCCACATCAGGCTAAAAGAAGATCCTCTTGCTCAAAGAGCAGGATTAACTTTGAAGAGTGAGTCTTTTAAAGCAGCAGCATCCTTTTTCAGGCTACTTCAGGGGTCAGCAACCCACAGCTCTGGAGCCGCATGTGGCTCTTTCATCCCTCTGCTGCGGCTCCCTGTCGCTGGTCGGCTCCACAATTGATAGAGCTTTCGGTTAGGACAGGAAGAGGAAAAAGGATGCCGTGCTAGGAGGAAACTCTATGGTGGGGGAACCAGACTTCCAGTCAGCAGAGGAAAAAGGATGCTGCGCTAGGAGAAGACTAGGATGGGGGAATCGGACTTCTGGTCAACTCCAGAATTGAACGGGGGCTTCTGGTTAGGACCTTTGTGGCTCTTTGAGTGTTTAAGGTTGCCAACCCCTGGGCTACTTTAATGTAAAGTGGAAATGAGACCTGAATCACTTCATCCAAGTCTTTTTCAAACTGCAAAATGCAAACAGAAATACACGCACACACCTCAGTCTGTTTATCTGCCTGGTCTATCTAATGTTTAATGAAGCCTCCAGGCACAGCAGTACTACGCATTTAAATATTCTTTTAGATTAATTCACTATAACATTCATTTTAATTTCCCAAATAACTGAAAGCCATTGTTCTATTTGGTCTATATTTATATCCCCTTAAACAAATAGCAACACATACATGGGTGTAAATAGTACTACTATAATCATTTAGCATTTACATAGCACCCACTTTATAACAAACACCTAATGTCTACACTGACTGTTTTAATCCTGAATCTGCATGCTCTTGGAGAAAAAGTTATCCCTACCCCTTCTGCTTCCCCCCACAATCATATTCAGAGTCTCAATGGCATTCCAAGTAGCTATATGGCAAACAGCCAGCCAGCCAGGATGGAACCTAATCCCATTGGGAGTTGTCAGGAACCCACCCATGCTGGGATTTTGGCAAGGACATTCTTTGAGATTCTCACTGCTGAGATTCAAATTTGTCTGTTGGTAAAAGATTTTTTTTCTTCTTCCCCAAAGCATCGATCATAGTGAGCGCCTTTCACATGGATAGCCTCAAGTATTTTTATACCATCCTGGAAAGATAACTCTATGGTACATTGTTGATCTGTGCTGTTTCTGCAGCTTTGACTAGTGCACTAACCACAGCCCTTTCTGGAGCCATCATTCACACCCCCGTTGCTCACAGCTGAATTACAGCAAGGCGCTCTACTCCGGGCTGCCTTTGAACACGATCCACAGTGGGAATTGCTTTGGCGATGTTGGCTCTTGGTTTCAGGGGCCGCGTTTGTTGCCAAGATGTTTTATGAGCAAAATTCCAAATGATGCTTTTGACCAAGAAAGCCCTATGTGACTTGGATCCAGGTTACCTTTGACACCATCTTCTCCAGACAGCATCTATCCATCCTTTGCAATCATCTCACGCCTTTCATTTCAGATATTAAATGAGTGGCTTTTTCTGTAGTTCCTCTAGCTCAGGTGTCAGCAACCTGCGGCTCCGGAGCCACATGCGGCTCTTTGGGCCCTCTGATGTGGCTCCATGTCAAGTGATCCCACCACTGGCTGGCCCCGCCCCTCTCCCTCCCCTCCCAGTCATTCCTTGCCTGACCTGAGAAGGTAAGGGAGACGGTGGGGGATGGAGAAGCGGCCAGGGCAGAGACAGAGAGATACAGAGAGAGTGGGAGAGAGACAGACATAGGGAGATACATAGAGAGATGGGGGGGGGAGAGGGGGAGAAAGGTGGAGGGAGGGAGGGAGGGAGGGAGAGAGAGAGAGAAAGAGAGAGAGAGAGCGATGTCAAAAGGATTTTGTGATTCCCGGGGTTTTTTAACAACCAGTTCTCTGTCCTAATGACTGGCTAGGTAGGCGTGGCTGGAGTATGTGTCATGTGACTGGTGGAAGTGAGTGACATCAAGTTGGCCACACCCACTCAGGTTTTATGGCTCCCAGTGTTTTCTTTTCTGTGGGAAATGGGTCCAAATGGCTCTTTGAGTATTTAAGGTTGCAGACCCCTGCTCTAGCTCTTTGGGGAAGCCTTCCTTCTCCAAAATTGAGTGGTGTTATGCTCTTTGCTAGCAAAAGAACAGTGGAGATTGCTGCCTGTTGAGGCTTTGGGGTATTTTGCTGAGCTGTTTTCCCAAGGCTTACTTTTAAACCTAATTAATTCTTATTGTTAAATTTCTTTCAGTTCTAGGTCTTAAATCTTTCATTCTTTATTACATTGTATGCCACCCACCTTGTCTAGAGGCGACTCAAAAATAAATCTTAATTTGGTTTAATTGTTTTACTGCCAAACTTGATGGCTAACAATGATTTTTTACATGAGCCACCCAAAGTCTGCTGAAGGGGGCAAGTCATGAATTACAAAGTAAATAAATCCATCCGAATCAGTACTTTTTTCAACAGTGGGGGGGGTCAAAGAAGGCATTTTTGAGCAAATCTGTTCAGATATAAGGGGAATCCAAGACCTTAGTGCCTTCCGCCGTGCCCTTAAAACCCACTTTTTCCAGCAAGCCGGGCTGGCTTAAGAAGAAATTTTAAATGTTTTAATTGGTTTGTATTTTTAATTTTGGGCCAAATTTATATATATTTTAATTGTTTTTAATATTTGTATTTCATGTTTTTTAATTCTGGCTGTTCACTGCCCTGAGTCCTCAGGGAGAAGGGCGGTATATAAATTTAAAAATAAATAAATAAATAAATAAATGTCCTTGCCGTGTTTTGAGTATGAGATACACTTTGTGTTTTTCTCTTCCCCTTATTTCAAAAACAAAGTTATACACCATGCTTATGTTGCAAAGAGTTCATTCAGACTGTATTGGTTAGCCCTGGGTTTTGTATCTTTCTTTGCTCTGTGTTCTTGTCACTGACCTCTGTTTGGTTAACAAAGCAAGCAAGCAAAGCGGAACAATTACAGGTAGGCTCTGTGTGGCAGCTAGCACCTGCTCCCCAGCTTGCTTTTTCTAGAAATTCCCCTCCCCCTTGAAATGAGTTTCTCCCCCTCATCCAAAGTCCTTCAGGCATATCATAAATTATTTATTTCAAAAGTTTCCAATATTAAGACTGAGCAATTACTCTGTTGCTCACCCCCCCACCCCCAGTTTGCTCTAGATGGGTTAGATCAGCGGATCAAAGGCCTCCATATTCAGACATTCGTTTGTCCCTTCTGATTCCTCCTGTTTCTTGGTGATTTCATTTACTATAGTTTAACTTCCAGTATGCTGATAGCTGCAGGGATGTTCCTGCAATTCCTCCACATAAGGGAGACCTGGGTGGAAGACAACTGACCCTGAATCTAATGTTATTCCTCCGGTGACAAAGACGCAATCTAGTAAGTCACAGGATGGACTGCATTTGTACAGTCCAGAGCATATCCCAGTAACACAAGGTGAGATTGTGCAGCAATAATAGTTGATACGTTCTGGGAGGAAAATAGGTATTCACCATAGCAGTTTAAGTGTGGGGGAAATATGAACCTAGGAAAAAAAAGCATGTGAGAACTATAGCCTGTATTCTTATGCTTTTTTCACTCATTAACTCACCATGGCTCTGAATTAAAAGAATGCCAGAATGGGAGCAGTCATTCAATGAATGGAGGTGGTAAAGGCTTTTTGGTTACAGATGCATGTTATAGATGCATTTCTATATGCTGGGCATGTCTTAGTATTGCATATAGAGCATACTTAACCAGCCATCCACATCACACAATATTTCTCATTTTATCACTATAATAATCTCATAAAGGAGGTTGAGGGATAGAGACTGCCCTAAGGTTGCTCAACCTTAACTAAAAGAGGATTCAAAACTAGGAAAGAGTTAAGATTGCCTTCCTTACACCAACTTTTCCCCATTTGGTGTCAACCAGATATGGTCCCATTACCAAAGCCACCAAGGCAATTTATTGTATTGAGTGGGGATGTTAGAGGTTGGCCCAAACACATGGTAGAGATCAAGTTGGAGGAAGTTGCTCCACCACAGAATAGGACAAGTTTTAACCCTCTCAAATCTACAACCTGCATTGTTTTAAATAGAAGGGGGGGGGGCTTTTAATAGAATAGGGCTGCACTTAAGTCTGGAAAATGAAGCTGGGGGCACATTCATTTTAGCAAGATGGACTTCAGGGAGGTACTTTGTTTGTTACCTGTGATGGATTTCTTTTAAGAGTTATACTACAGTTATTTTCTGTTTTCCACCTTAACGTGAGAAATTTTGCTGGCAGTTTTCAAGTTTCATGGTCAGAAGCAGCTCTGAAGAGTACAAAATGAGATCTTGTCCATGGCTATTTTACATTATACTATAAAATTAAGATGACAACCCTACATATTTGTGTATATGCTGATTTTCACCTGCTTCCTTGGTTCTCAGAAGGAATCAAAGAAAAGAATGCCTTGGGAAAGGGAGCAGAAAATGGGACAATGCCTGGAGGTGGCCAATCCAGAGAAAGAGTAGAAGAGCTCTTACTTGAATTTAAAGGTCTCTCCAAGCTCCACTGCACTGCCTGGTGTGATCTCAAAAATCCCACTGAAAGGATAGGGATGTCCTCCATAGGCAAACTCTAGCAAGAAAAGAAAAAGACTGTAATTAAGAATGTAAGAGCAGCAGCATCTGTGGTGGGGCTCTGACTCAAGTTAAGATAGGCTACATAACTTGCTTCTCTTCCTCCTTCAAAGAGATCGGACTAGTCTGCAATCTAAGGTAAAGGTTTCTCTGTCAACCATGGTCATGCGGCCATCATGGCTATACATCAAAGATGCACAGGACACTGTTACTTTCCCACCGAAGTGGTACCTATTAATCTACTTGCATTTGCATGCTTTCGAACTGCCAGGTGGGCAGGAGGAGCTGGGGCAAGTAACAGGAGCTCATCCTGTTGTGCAGAGCTCGGATCTCAAACCCAGGCTGTCAGTTCTCCATCTGACAAGCTCAGCATCTTTAACCACTGTGCCCCTTAGTCTGCAATCTACTCCAATCTACTGCATTCTACTCCAATATATTTTGTCAAACAGGACATTTTGCCGAGCTGGCTTTCAGTCAGCATCAAGCACCAAGACTGAAAGGTAGTAGAGGTTTAAGCAATAGTATACAATTGTGTAGAGCAAAGGAGAAAATTCAGCAGCCTGAAATTCAGTTGAACTCTCAGATTATCTTGTTGCAATTCTAATTTCCCTTGGAATCTGCTCTGAGAGATGAGTCCAATGACTAATATGATAGTCAGATTCAGGAACCAGGTGATAATATATCTGTTCTTTCCCCGAAAGCAAGAACTCACTGGCTTTTATTTTTAAAATAGAACAATACTGAATAAATATATAGCTTTGCAAATGAGGTTGCATTCATTCTTGAATTAGTCAGAAACAATTGGAATAATGATGCCCAATTCTTAGCAACTTCATACAATTCCTAGCAATGGTTAGGAATTATTGGAGTTGCAGCGTAATGAATCTGGAGGTCAATCATGGGAATGCTGAGTGATATATCCATTAAAATACAAAGCATCTTTTGCATCCGAGAACAACGTGACAAGGTTCTTCAGATTATTTTTATTTATTACATGTGCCTTTCCACTAAGAGCTTAAGATAATTTATTTGAGAATTCTCCTTCAAGTTATCCCAATAGTGACAACCCTATGAAGAAACCTGGGCAAATATCACCTAATTAGTTTTCATGATAGAAGATGAATTTCAATTGGGATCACCCCAACCCCAACACCTCTATCACAATACTTCAAGTTCTGCAGAGCTACCATGCAGCTCTTGGGTCCTCAAGGCAGCTCAGCATTTCCTTCTTTGCCTGAACCCCTAGGCCATCTCCTCGACTCTTTAAGGCAGAGGTGGGGAACTTTGGCTCCTTTATGACTTGTGGACTTCAATTCCCAGAATTCCTGAGCTAGCCAGCATCCCAGGAATTCTGGGAGTTGAAGTCCACAAAAAGGGCCGTAGTTCCCCACTCCTGCTTTAAGGTGACTCATAGCTCTTGGAACAGAATGGTGTAAATTTGCAGAGTCTGTAATTTGAGTTGATTTCTGCTTCCAAAATGGATTCCATGTTTGTAAAATGCAAGACAACTTTATTTTGGAGTGAGCTAAGAAATACACTGAAATAAAGGAAAATATCTGCACTGCTAGAGATTTTCCATTTCAAAGAAGTTGAGTTTCAAAAATTGCTGCCTTGAATTTCACAGTAACTCCCAATGATATAAGGCATTGGCTCTATAGTTTTAACGTACCTGATCATATCTGCAGTCATTTTGCTATTTACAGCCTTTAATATAAAGTCTTGGTTCACTTAGTGAGGTGTCTTTGAATCAAGATCAACCCTGATGACTGGACAAATGTCCACCATCTCTTTCTATCTCAGCAGCAATCCACAGATCTTTTTAGTTATCCAGATCCTGTCCATCTGTTGTCTTCCCCTTCTCTTACTTGCCTCAACTTTGCCAACTGCCATCCATTTGTATCAGATGCCCGCAGTAGCTGAGTGCTGCTTGCTGATTGTTGCCTTGGGGGAGCCATCAATCTTCATTTCATCCAGGATGGGCTGATTGATTCTTGCAGTTCATGATAATCTTAGTAACCATTTCCAAATCCATAATTCAAGAGTATCTCCTACCCCTTGTTCCTTCTTAGTATCTAATTCTCACAGCCATGCATTATATCACTAGAAAAACCATTATATTATTTTTAATATAATTTTAATCTATTCAGTGGTTTTCCATCTGGACTTTTGCTTTCCTAAGGGACTGCTGCTCTTAACACTTAGCTGTCCCAGCCCTTCACTCATGTAGGGTGGTGTTTTTTTTTTTTTTTTTGCAACCTATTCAAAAATACCATTTTAATTCTCCCTAAAAGAACCTCAAGGAGGGGCAAAAATACCATTTTTAACTCTCGCTAAAACAACCCCTTTTTTAAAAAAATGGAATATTACAGCTATTTTCAGGCATAATTCACATAAAACTCCATACCTCTACCGTAGATCTCAATTCCAGAATGGAAGACTCCAATACCCAATGTGGAGGTGTATTCATTTATCCAGTACTAGAGAAAAACAGATTTAAAAGCATTTAATGAGAGAGCAATACTAGGACAGGTTTTTTTTTCTTTCCTTTTATACTGCAAACTTTGGATTTGAAGCTAAAATATAAAACCTTTAAACAGTTGAAAATAAAATTGCACAAAGGGTAACATTTTTTTTTAAAAAAAATCCTTAAGAATAGCTTAGTCAACATCTGCTTAGAAGCTCAGAACTGAAGAAGCTTCTTGGATGAGAAGCAAAATGTCTTCAAAGAAAAACTCCAGTTGCCTCTTGAAAAAGCACCTTTGCGACATCTGCTTAGAAGAGATTCGAATGCTTCTAGAACGATCACCTCCTGGGTTTTTGAATGCCATGACACATTTTTGGAGTGCGGTTGCCTACAATCTGTGGAACAGCAGAACTGAGTTAGAATACAGGTTGTGACAGAACAATCGCAAAACCAGTCTATCGCAGGGTAGAATTGTCACTGGAATTTGTCAGGGGAAAGGGGTGGAAAATTAATGTGCTTGCACAAGAAAGAGCTTGTAAGAGGTACATAAGATTGGAATTGCGAGCCCCCTCATATTTCAGAATACTGTGTGGTGTGTTGATTACAGCTGAGCAGAGAAAAAGAACTGCTTACTTGAAGTAAAACGCACAGTAAAGTAAACTCAAGTGAGTTTCTCACTTTTTCTCTGGGTTTTTTCTGGGAAAAAAAAGTTGAAATATATTTCACAATTATCACCATGAGTGTACCCGATTGATGTAATGATGACATCTTGTAGCTTACCAGCCTGTTCTGACCTAGGCTTCCTGAGTCAGTAAAATACACAACTAGTCCCAAAAACCTGTTTTATTTTAACAGCTGTGAATTCACAGATGAGTCCCAAATAGTTGTGAAGAGTCCTTCGGGATAAGGCTGATAATCACCCACCTTTATCTCCTTTGACACGCTGCCAAAGACCTAATTGGCAAAGCCACACAGAGTCCAGAATCAAACAGAGCTTCAGACTTTAAACTGCACAGAATTAACAACGTTGCTTCCCGCAAAGGCCCACATGCCTTTGCTCCTCTTTTAAGTCTTATGGGAGGGGCCAATAATCTCCAAGCCCTACTCCCGAGTCGCCCATTTTGTTTTAACTGTTCTTGCCTTCTGGCAGCTCTCCGCATGCGTGCACTGGGAATAGGCTTCCCCTGTTTCTCTGCCTTGCTGAGGTCCGATTCTGGAGGCTCCGGAGGCAGCACGTACCTCCCAGATGGCCCCTTCTCTGCCTCCAACGCAGAGCCCTCATCCAAGCCTTCCCCAGACTCTAGGACTGGCCCATGTTCCTCCCCAGCGTCCTCACTGTCCAACTCTGCTGCCAGCTCCGCAAGCTGCTGGCGTACCACAACATAGCCATTGACACCCAAGCCTACATCTTTTAGGCTGGACTTCCACATTCTTTTAAGACTTTTCTTGATGGCTTATAAAGGTATGTGGGAATGTCCTTGGGAGACAGGAAGGAGAGCTGCAGACTGGACAACCAGCATATAAAAGATGTCTCAGTCCACAGAAGAGAGGATGGTGTGGGAAACTTTTAAAAAGGAGCCTTCCCTAGTTTTCTGGAGAGTAAAATGAAGGGAGGAGAGAAATACAAGTAGCCCTCAACTTACGACCACAATTGAGCCCAAAATTTCTGTTGTTAAGTGAGATGGTTGTTAAGTGTGTTTTGATCCATTTTACAACCTTTCTTGCCACAGTTGTTAAGTGAATCACTGCAGTTGTTTAATTAGTAACCAGGGGTGAAATGCTCCCGGTTCGGACCGGATCACCTGATCCAGTAGTGATGGAGGTGGATGGTTCAGAGAACCTGTAGCAAAAATCCCTGCGCCCCCCTCCATGCCCAGCTGAGTCGTCTGATCACCAGAGGCTGGTTTTTTTTACTTTTAAAAGCCTTTTTTCTACAACCTCTTCGGCCGAAAAAAGGCTTTTAAAAGTAAAAAAAAAGCCTCTGATGATCGCGCAGCTCAGCTGGGATCGTCAGAGGCTTTTAAAAGCATTTTTTCTACAACCTCTTCAGCCGAAGAGGTTGTAGGGAAAAAAATGCTTTTAAAAGCCTCTGACGATCCCAGCTGTGTTGCCTGATCATCAGAGGCTTTTAAAACCATTTTTTAACAACCTCTTTGGCCGAAGAGGTTGTAGAAAAAATGCTTTTAAAAGTAAAAAAAAAAAAAAGTTGGCCACACTCACCCAGTCACATTACCACCACCCCACCAAGCCACGCCCACAGAACCGGTAGTAATAAATTTTACATTTCACCACTGTTAGTAACACAGTCGTTAAGCGAATCTGGCTTCCGCATTGACTTTCCTTGTCAGAAGGTCGCAAAAGGGAAATCACATGATCCCGGGACACTGTAACTATCATAAATATGAGTCAGTTGCCAAGTGTTTGAATTTGGATCATGTGATCATGGAGATTCTGCAACGGTCGTCAATGTGAAAAACAGTCACAAGTCACTTTTTTCAGTGGTGGTGTAACTTTGAATGGTCACTAAACAAACTGTTGTAAATTGAGGACTACCTGTACTTTCAGTCTAGCAACATTCTGTTAATGTAACTTTATAATAAAGAGTTAATACTCCTGGTTGTGTTTCTTGTCTGGATTGCATTGTTGGGCTAACAAAGCTCTGCAGATATCTATCAGAAGGAGGATGGGACTACCAAAGAGAAAACATCACCTCCACCAACACTGGCAGGACAAGCTTCTGGGTATAAACAGAGAGCAAATATCATTCTCTTTCAGCAGTGAAGATGTTATCTAGCCTAGGATAATGAAACAGTTGCATAAAAACAACAAAACTCAGAGAGCACCAAGGATTACACAAGATGGAATCCTTCTTTGCCATTTCTGAGGCATCAGCTTTTTACTTGGTAAATTTTTCTAGATCTTTTTGAGGAGAAGCACTGAGCTTTATTTAGGTGAGAAATGGGAAGGCGGAGAAATGTGAAGATAGCCCCTTTTCCTTACACATTTCACTCTTGCAGACCTGGGCCAGGAGATAAGATGGGAGGGAGTAAAAGGCCTGGGTGAACTTCAAGAGAGGAGGCTACTCTTGCAGTCGGTGGCTAAAACGCTGAGCTTTGTTGATCAGAAAAGTCGGCCATTCGAATAGTATAGGTCTCCTGCGTGAGATTAAATGACATCCAAGGTCCTTTCCAACTCTTACTGTTATTGTTGGCTTCCAGGACTGGAGTGACAGGTAAGGCCAAGAAAAGGATCCTTTTGGGTACCTTCACTGTTGTAGAGGAAATGCATTGATTGTAGGGTGTGACAATAGAGCAAAAGGGCTTCCTATGAACTGTGGAAAGATTAAAATGATAGATGGATGGAATTTCTTTTACTCTCGAGTCTAGCTCTATCTCAGGGTTTGAAGAACAAGGGGACAAAGTTCTTTCTTATAGCTTTTCAGGCTGTAAAAAGTACCAATTAGGTAACCATATTGCTTTAATTTAGGTAGCACTTCCCTTTTCTCCTTCTCTAAATTCTACACTGACTTTGCCATCCTATATGTATGGGGATATTGAATGAATGGCCACATAAGGTCTGGAGCAGGGGTGAAATCCAGCAGGTTCTGACAGGTTCTGGAGAACCAGTAGCAGAAATTTTGAGCAGTTCGGAGAACCAGTAGCGGAAATTTTGAGTAGTTCAGAGAACCAGCAAATACCACCTCTGGCTGGCCCCAGAGTGCGGTGGGAATGGAGATTTTGCAATATTCTTCCCCCAGGAGTGGGGAGGGAATGGGGATTTTGCAGTATCCTTCCCCTGCCACGCCCACCAAGCCACGCCCACAGAACCAGTAGTAAAAAAGATTGGATTTCACCACTGGTCTGGAGAGATGGTGATATTTTGAAAGAGAAAAAAATGGATAGTTAAATAAAATCGATAGATTCCAAGACTCAGCCAACTTCTCTGATTGTTAACTCTTTTCACAAAGTTTCCTCTCGATATTCTCCTCCAAATACAACATGCTCTTTCATCAAAAAAAAAAAAAAAAAACTAGGAAGACCAGACTAGGAAAATCAACTTCAAAGAAAATTAGAAGTACTTTTATTGAGGTTGGTTATAATAACAGAACCTTGTAAGTCTGATTATGTATCTGTACCTCCTCCTCTCCCTTCTTATACTCCAGTGAATGAGGGCTGTATCTGCCTGAGCCACTTCCGAATGGTATTTTATTTCTTAAGGCTTAAAACATGTTTCAACCCCATTTGGCTAGGTAATGGTAATGTTCTTGTATACTTCCATCACAATCATCTTTCTAACTCTTTACACTCACTGGTATGGGCAACTAGAAATCTTGCCTTTGCCAGCAACAACTTAACTGTACAGAAAGTGATTTCTGGATCATTTTTCAAATCCTACAGTATGTAGTACACACACATGCAATGCTTTTTCTGGCAATTTTGTCTCAGTTGTGTTAATAAGGGTAGCATTTAAAATGATTTTAAAGCAACTTGTACTGGTTTAAAACTATTGTGATTCCCTTGTTACTCATTACAATTAATGTTTGCTATACAAAGAGAATGCATCTGTGTGTACTATATAAATTTGCAAAAAAAAAAAAGTGCTTATCATGAAGATTGACAGTGCTGGGTGAATGGTGTCAAGAGAGAGTTTAGGGTTTCAGTGTATTGGGACAGTGTTAGGATTTTCCAGGATCAGATTTTCACTTTTGTGAGACATGCTCAAGTTCACTTTGGAGGGAGGCACTCAAATAAATATGTTACGGATAGTTGTTCTTCTTTTCTTTGTTTATATTGGAGCAAATACGTAGTTTGAAGGGGAAAAAAACTCCACAAGGATGAAAATAAAATTCAGGAAGCATATATAGGCTGTTCTACTGTAATGATGAAAGTGAAATTAGATGCATATTATGGATTTAATATCTTCTTCAGATGAAATTTCAGCCTTCTGTCTCAGATATTGAAGATCTAAGCCCTTCTGAATCCCTCTCTGAATTTTAATATGCCCGTGAGGATA